AGCGGCCATGCGCGCACCGCGTCGGTCAAGACAATTCCCAAACCTCAAGCAGTGAACCCAATAGCAGCGCCCGATATCCGCCTTTTCGTAACCAATTTGCGATTGTTGGATTTGGATTTGCGACCGGATTGGCCTGAAATCACGATACAAACTTTCTCGGCCAAGAATGCAGACCAGCGACAGAGAATTGGCGGGGCCGAATGGGCACTATTTCGACTCTTCGAAATATGGGATCCCAATGAGACAGCACAGGTATGCCGGGATGAAACCTCACGCTGATCTATGTCTGACTCAGCTACAGAAACTCCAGCCCTTCTTCCCGCCACTCGAACCACTCCAATCGTTAAACCTCCGCGCTGCGCTATACCGATGTCTGAACGAGTTGAAGAAGAATGGCGTTTTGGGAAGAGAGTCAGTTCTTAGGAAAACAATGCTTGACGAGTGCAAGGGCGAGAAGTTCTACGAGATATTGGCTATATTTTCGAATGTCGTACTCAAAAAGGTTCTTGCAGCGCAAGACGGAGGTGACAGAGATGCCGTTGTCGCAAGAAAACTGGCGACAGCGTCAACACTCTCAGTTGAACAGCAACGGTCATTACTGCCCCTAGCTATCGCACACAAGGCAGCGCTCGTCAACCTGCTGAGACAGAAAGAAGAGAAGAGGCTGAAGTACATGGAATTCCATGGTCTTCTGGACAAAAAGGCAGCAGATATCCGGGGTCGCATACGCAAATGCAAAGATACCCCTCGAGCGCAAAAGCCAGCGATACCACAGAAAGAAGCCAATGCCATCAAGAAACAGCTCAAAGACAACTGGGTTGGCAACCAACAGTGGCTCGATGTAATGCTACGCGGCGAGAACGTACAGGCGGACGATGCGTTCCTAGACAGCCGTTTCGACAAAGTCTTGCATATGGTGGAAAAAGGCAGAAAACTAGAAGACGTCGCGCCTGAAACTGGATTACTGGAGAATCTGCAAGCAAGAGTGCAAGAGCAGCAGGAGAGGTTACAAAAGTGGAAGGCTTTCCATGCTGAGCTACAGAACGACGAATCAGGGAAGGAAACATCAGGAAGCGGACAGACTACGGCGCCAGTAAAGGAATTCCACTTCGATGATCACTCGCAGCATCAATTGCCGTCGGCGAAGCACACAGCAGAATCTGCGAGCGTAAAGCGGCCGACTATGCGAACAGAGTTTCGAGACATCCTGTCTGATATGGACAGTGAGCTGGCGCGAGCCGCCAAAGTCAGGGCTAGTACTGCATCTACAATTATACATCATAGAAGTACCTCGACGGCAAAGACTGCTCGCCCACCACTTCTCACAAGGAAATCTACTCAGACGGAGACGATACGCAAAGCACCAGTGATTCCAGCTAAGCCTGTCAAATTACAGTCACCATCAAGACCAAACTCGTTAGAACATGTCCCGGTCCTACCCAGACCATCTCGGCACGTTCCGACAACTGCCACACCAGTCGACTCAGATGCCACACTAATTGGTCAATCATCTGCGTTGAGTAGGGCTACAACCCAGCATGACGCATCGCCGACGGAGACTGATAACGAGCGCACACCAGTACCGGAGACTAGGCCTGCTGTTTCCGAGCCAGTCGTCGACAACTCACCGTCCGAAGCTGCCAAAACACTTACTAATTACTCAGAGCAAAAAACGGATCTCTCCCCTGAAAAGCTGCTTGAGCCATCACCAGAATACCCCTCTGAACCGCCAATCCCAGCTTTCGATCCCCCAGAACTCGATGCTGAAGAAGCACTTGCCGACCAGATCATCAACTCCATCGGTAATGCGACCCCATCTCCGGTCAAGAAGCCCCAACCACGGATGTCCCTTTCACTCATTGAACGCACACGCATGACAATGGCACGGACAAACTCTTTCGAACCTGTTCCAGAGTCACCCGATCTACCGCTGCCGTCTATGGGACCACCACCGATCCCTTCCATCACTGGAGATGAAGACGGCGACCGACGCGCAACACTGGCCGAACGAACCCGGCTCACTATGGAAGCCATGCAATCCAACCCCCGCCCATCTACCACAGCAAAGAAGGAACAGCGTAAATCTAGCCGATCATCACTCTTCCCCGTCAACCAATTTGATACACCCCGGACCCGCAAATCCTTCGAACTCCTAGAGCAGGCGAAGCTCGACAGTATCGAGCGTACACCTACCGAGCAATTGTTCAGTGACGAAGTGGATTACGATAGGGTGTTCAAATCAAGACCGAAGATTGCCACAAGTCCGGTTTGGAGTCCTGAGGGCGGCGTGGGTGGTCAAGAAGAGTTTGGAAGTGACGGTGAAGATGTGGATGGTGTTACTGGTATTGATCTGGGAGATGTAGATCAGGACGATGACGGAGAGGATAGGTTCAAGGAGAGTTGGATGGATAGCCCCAGTCACAAGAAGGGGGTGAGGAGTATGAGGTATTAGACACGAGGAAGTACAATTGTAAATGACATCAATATTTGGGCCAGCCCTGTGCGACCATTCATTATCTTGTCCCGCTCACGACCAATCCTTCACCTCCACATACGTTCTCCGCTCGCCACGCTTATCCACTTCTCCGTCACCAGTCTCAATCCTCGTCTCGTTTTGAGTTGGATCGAAACAAGTCATCTGAACAGTACCGTTACATGCTGGATACAATTCACGCGTCTTCATATCACAGAACATCTGCTCAGGCTCGGAATAGAAGTCAGGTCCAACACTACCGGTGCTTTGGCAGATCTCCACTGCACTTTGCGTGACATCATGACTCTTGACTAGTACTCCATCGAACTGCCTCTGAAGCGGATGCTCGGGTGAAGTGCGCCGATACTTCGATTTGGGAGTATGGGGAAATGGCCAGTAGGATGAAGAAGATCGCGATCTTAGAAGCGAACGACGCCGTGACGGCCCAGGCAGGCATCCAGTTCGTTCTTCGCATTTATGATACCACCAATCGCCGTCAAGACACGTCTGGCCGTACATTTGGATGAGATCGTATCGTTCCTGGTACGTGAAACGGTCGTCCGCGCAGATGTGAGGGTCTGTCGTGCTATCTTTTGCAGCTGGGATACATGCCGAGACGGTATCCAAAGGAAGATTTGCACCTTTAGGTGGCGCTGGACTGAAGATCTCTGGGCAGAGCATTGGGTCGAGCCTGCCGTATGCGCCAAATCGCGCCAGCGAGTCGCACATTTGTGAGGGGTCTTCTTGCCATCCATGGAAGGTACTGTTGTTGAGCTTGAAATCTGGAAGGTGGACTTGGAATCCTTCGTAGTTGGTCGCTGAGTCTCCGTCGTCGTCGGCCTTGTCGATCCACATGCATTTCGGTCGCCCGTCTTGTGTCTGCGCGGATTTGGACTTGAACTGGACTACTGTCGCGGAATGGGACCAGGAGTACTTGTAATCTGGGTTGTGCTCGTTGCATATGGCAGCTACCTCGCCGGGGAGGAAAGCGTAGGTGTCGCTGCTAGTGGGGTATGTGACTGCTACAGCTGAGATGCAGATAGCGTCGGTTCCAGATGCGGATACTGTGATGTACTCGGCGTTCTCCGTTTCGCCTGGCTTGATGTAGTCGGCCCAGATGTCGATTGGATTGTTCTGACTAATGACCTGCTTGCACATCTTGTTTTTGCTGTAGCCAACCCGGTCTCCGTTGGCGTTGAAGAGTGACACTTCCGGAGCGCATCCGCCGTAGCTCAACTTATCGTAGATCTCGTCCTTCTTCTTCTGTCCCTCGGCGTCCAGTGGTGGCAAGCCGACCAGGATGTTGACCTTGGTTTGTGGCTTCGGGTTGTCTTTGAACCAGTCGGGGACCATGGGAGCAAGACTGATCATGGTGAAGGCCGCACTGAGACCGAGCTCGGGGAAGATAACTGACATGGCGAGAGGTGATAAGTTGTACAAGTATGAACTTGAAATGGGAGGGAATTCGATATTTCAAGATGTAGTTACTAGGATAAGACTGCTTGAGGGCTTTTGGGATATTTGATAGTAGTTGAAGGTTGTAGCGATAACTGATGTTGATGCTCTCATCGATTGTCGCTTTGCTCACATCTTATATCTGATTGTAACAGGGCATATAAGATGCGTCATTCACAAAAGAGGTCGCCACGTGTCCCTTTGGCCTCTCGTGTCCTGATGCAAGACCTTCTGGACCCCATTCCCATAATGATGGTCTCACCTACACTGCACGCGTCATGCTCGTTCGACTTTCGTGAGCTTGAGATGTAGTATTTCATCACTGTACTCTCAATTACTCCTTGTGTGTCCTTGTTTCTGCGTCATCTCACTGCAGGTGTGGTGCCGGCAATTACATCGGCCCCGAGTCGCGACACTGAGCACTCGATCTCCTTTCTACGCCGCAGCCCCATCCTCAATGCGATGCGATGAAAACGATTATGGCCCGCTTCTGTGACATGGAGTAATTAAACATGGCGCAATATGTCATCACGTTCGTGTGATATTGGCTCTACGCCGCCTCAACGTGCGGCGTCTGGACTTGCGGCGTGGCGACCATCGTCACTCACAGGGCCGCCCCCACAAGACCCGGAGGTGATTCAATCTACTGTCAAGTTTCATCTAGAGATATTCCCACCTCTTTGAAGAGCATACGTGATATTCAACACGCCGATCGTGTTCCACATAGTGACACTGCCGAACTTCGCCACGGGCCGTCCGCAGCAGATGGACAAAGAACCCAAAAACGGCCTTTGATAACGAGGGCTTATGACGTACCATTGAGATGTGAAATCTGGCATGAGGCTAGATGTGCAAACCTGTTGTCTGATTCGAATGTGACCCATTAGGAAAGTTCGGCGGGACGAGACACGCAGAGAAACGACGGAGGAAGATATAAGAGCCACGACTCTTGACCCGACATCCAGCACAACAGACTTCAAGCCAAATCTTTGCTCAAGCTCTTCTATTGACACCATTCTACACATTACGTCTTTGTAACAAAGCACCATAGCCACTCGACAACACCATCAACATGCGTCACTCGGTGCCAAAGTCAATTGCTCTTGGATTGTTGTCCGCATACATCCTCCAAAGTAGCGGCAAACCAATCATACCGATCGCTCCATGCCAGAACGAAGTCGATTGTAGCCACCCATTCAACAACACGAATTGGCCTCGTCTTGCCCGTACTGATGCTCTCCCGCCCGCACTCGACCGCAGAGCCAGTGGCGGAGGACGCCCAACTAAACCCAACGACAACAGTCCCAACGCACCTCATGTAAACCCAGATCAGCAGAACACTCCCTCTGACGCCGGCGATCAGCAGGGTGAGTCTGGGGGGTTCAGTGAGCAGCAAGAGACCTCTGGTGGCTTTTCCGATTCGCAGGAAACCGAAGGAGGGTTCGACAACAACGGGGATGATACGGGCGGTCCAGGCTCTAGTTTGCAACCAGCAGCTCCCGACCCGAACCCCAACCCGGCTCCAAATCCCAATCCAGCCCCGAACGTACCCGCGGCTAACAATCCCGGTCAGCCAAACGCCGTTCAGTATCCGCCATCAGCAAGGAACAATCAAAACCAGCCAGCAACATCGGCGAATAACCCTTTCAATCCCGCCGCTGCATCTGTTCCAGTCATCAATGTCGCAGCCCGTACGAATCAATTCCGACAAACTATCACTCAGGACGGACTGACCGGTCAACCATGGTTCTTCTACTCTGGATTCGATCGACAAAAGAAGGACTACACCTATAAGCAGAACCTGGAAGACAGACTTCAACTCGGACATGGTCAGATGCCTTCCATGGATAGCGTACTATCAATCAGAGGGGGTGGGGCGAACGCGAATGAGTACCAAGCGTACCAGGCTCGCCCTGGAATTGACCCAGCCAGAGAGAACTACTACTGGGCCGTTAATTCCAAAGCTTATGCTCAAGCAGTAGAAGGAAGGATCTACGTGGTACTTCCCAGCGGCCGCGGTGTGAATCAGCCGTATTCCGATAAGGGTTCGAATTGGTGGACGTTCGAGGTTCCGGAACTTACCCGTAACGCTCGTGTCGACAGTATCACAGTCATGCCCGTGAAGGAAGACACTTCGACACTCTACATAGAAGAGGCCGATGCTTTCCACCTTGGCGAAGAAACAATAATCTGGAGGCGGGGGGACGATCCCATTGGCTTCCCAGCAAATGAGCTGGATCCTCTACAGAGGCCTGGCGAGCCATGGGAGACTGTTCAGGATGTATACATTCCAAGTTCTCCATAGGAAGCACTGACGCTGATTAACGGAGGGTTGCGTTGGGCAACGTAGATGAGGGTGTTGGGCAGGGGACGGGGTAGATCGAAGGGCGATGGATATTTCATATGTTGGGTCTGTCACGGTCGCTCACTTCTTCTGTTTTCTCGTTAATTCACTCATTTCTCTTTTCCGAAATGTGGACTAGAAACATGTTCGCGTATCGAAAGGTACGAAGCCTGGCTTACAGCGCGTACGTTTCCATCATCTTATTGAACCGCGCCTCGTCAGTTGTGACTGATTGCATTGTCGTATAGTCGGAATGTTAACACATGTTGTGGAAGTGGTCGAGATGACACACCCACATGTGTTGCCGGCGTGAAGCCACAACGAAAGACCATCAAATGGGCTCCGGGGACTGGCGTGCCTAGGGATGGTATAAGTCATAATCGCATGCGCGGTTTATACGATGTCGCAAGCTGTCACGCGGGGTAGTCGTTGAAAAAGTCAGGCCGCGAAGCCGCAGCTGCCCGCGTGCGGTCTGACGGGAGGTGTACAAGCCCTGGAGACTAGCTTCCAGATGTTGTGACCCTGAGCTAGCCCGATCGACGTGATCGAGGGGCTAGCGCTCTCTCAAGCTACATAGCCCCTTCTGCGAAGAGAGTTTCACACACAGTGCCGATTCATAATCACTTTCGCGTACCACGACTGCTATTGGCGCCTAAGTTATGTGAGGTTTACAACCGTTGGCCACGTCTGTGCCGCAATCCCATTCAACGTTCCGTGCCGCAATGGCGAATACCGCAGAGCGCCACGCCACGCCTCTCCCTTAAGACGAGGGACGCCAACCAAGCTGGACACAGTAACTTGCTTCCATAGTGACCGCATTCTCATCACACGGCCATCCTCTGCAAACTTACCAGAGGAGAAACAGCTGTTAGAGCGCGATGAAGCTCCTTGATCTGCCTAGGGAGCTCTTCGAGACAATCTTACACTATGCCATCCTTGCTCGGGGAACGAAAAGAGGTCTGCGTCTGAGACTCACAAACCGTATGGAGCACTATCATGTGTTAAGCTTCAAAGCTAACGACCGCTAGATTACTTCGCGCAAGAGGTGATGCGCGCACTTCGTACCTTCCGGCTACTCGATGGGATCATGTTCCGCCGTTGCTATTCGTGGGAGGTGATATACTTCTATCAGTCCTATCTGGAGTATCGTGTCATGCATGAGCCTCCGAATGGCAATCGGTTCCTAAATGACGTCCGAAACATAGCCGTTCAAATAGCGGCTCTCAGTCACGGCCATAAGGTCGATGATAGTATCATCGCAAACGTGGTTCACACTCTTTTCCCAGTGGAGGCATGGGCAAGCAGATCGACTAAGGAGCGTTTGAGGGATGGCTTCCGTCGCCTACTCAAATGGGACTCCGTCGAAACCGAAAAACAGCTTTTTGGTGCCGCGCTTTGCACCAATACGCTATCGTACATTCGGCAGTCCTCAAAACTACGAGACGCCATGTTATCAAATCCTAAAAGCCCTGATAACAGCTGTGTATTTGGAGATTATGTTTGGCTCGCCGCAAAGTTTGGCAACGAGGAACTTCTAGAGTATCTCATGACGAGCGAAGCATCTGATCTCGGCCCAGGGTTAAGATTCCAACTTTTTGAGTCTGCAGCGAAAGGATGTCGGGTAGACATTGTTCGATTCCTATACGACTTCCGAAGCGAGGACTGGCCGTGGCATTTCGAAAGCTCCACAACATCGGGCAAGGGCCCCCTGTACTACATCCGCGCGAGCGTTCGAGATCCTCAGATATGGGACTTCATTGAAGCTTTGCGCATCGCTCATGGCCTGTATCCGACCGGCAGAAAACAGCTTTACGGAAGGATCCGTCATTGCGCGGCACTTGGCAGGATGGATATGGTTTCGCATCTAATCCGAGTCGCCAAACATACCAATGAAGATCGGAACCGGTACTCAGTTTTCATGTCATTCATATCGGACTATGAGATCTCATGTAATTGGCGTAATGAGGCAGTCAAGCACGCCATCGATCGAGGCTACGTACCTATCGTCGAGCTTCTACTAGACGATGGGGCAGACCCGAATCAAGCTCTTACAAGCGCTGCTCGCTATGGCCAGAAAAAGGCCTTGGAAATGCTTTTAGATCGTGGGGTCAACATCAGTGATGCGGTTGTCGAAGTGGGAATAAATGAAAGCCGCAAAGTAGTGCCCACTAAGCTCTTAGCGAATGTAGAAAGAGGGCCTTATCTGGACGTAGTGCGGCTACTTGTTGACGCCGGCGTAGACGTCAACGAAAGTATCGGCAAGGACAGCCCTCTCGCTGGAGCAATCGCCGCAGAACACACAGCACTGTTTGAGTTCCTTCTTGAACGAGGCGCGGATCTGCATTCTCCTGGAACAGCAGAGGAGTGTGTGCGGCGAGCGAAAAAGGATGGGTTGGAGTCTATGCTACTGCTGCTCGAAAAACATGGCGTTGATGTTAATGTCAATTTGGAAGAAGCGGTATGATTGAACAGAGACGTCAGGTATATGCGTACGCCGTTCTGTAACGAGCAGAATATCACTTCTACTGAGTGCGTTAAACGTCAAGGAGATGTAGCGGAAGTGGAAGAGAACACCCATGATGTGTTTTTAATGAACAGATTCATGCCCTGGGCAGCTTCTAAGACGCCAGGATACACAGCAAACATGAGTGTAGAGCTATTTGAGTACTGGGACGCGAGTTCCGCAGACCAGATCCATTTGAGCGAAAGAGACATGCTTATTGACTGCTATCGTTTTCGGAAGCGCCGACTGGATGAAAAAGTATATTGGAATGATGTGCGGAAGAGAGCCACCCCATAACTCGGTTGGCATATTGTTTTGTTGGAAAGAAGAGTCGACACATAGTCTTGTGTGAATATGATTTTAGAAAGTTCGCAAAGAGCGCACATCTTATGAGTGTGCTTAATGTTCAGGAAGGATGAGCTGCTTTATATGTGACCTGACGCACAGACGTCTCAGTCATACGTCGCTCCAGCCAGGTTTTGAATAACACACACCACAGCTTACTGCCTCTCCATGTCAAAGTGACGTGAACCTTTTTGTTTTGGAAGGAACATATGCAGGATGTATGCAGCACTCCCAATAATTTGAAACCTCCACAAGCCCAGGCAAAGGCACATATTTGGGTTGAGTGCAATTTTGGAAAAAGAGGAGGAGGCAGCCATTGCTGAGGTCGTTTACAGTTTTCGAATTCGCGATATGACACAGTAGTGATCTGATGCGCGAAGCATAGTGGAAACGAGCTGTAGTTTATATATCCTTCGCCTAGTAGACTGATCTCGAACGCGCAGAACATGTTGGTAGCGAATTCGAATTTTTGAAGCGAAGAGGAGGGACAGTGCAAATTTGATAGGTTGCGGGCCATTTTGGAAAACGCAGAACACACCGCAGCAGGACATTCCGCTGGCAACGATTGCTTTGATTCACTCTCTGGGAAGTGTGGAATATAGAAGAGTATTCCAGAGTCCAGTAGAGAATTTTTATACACCCTCAAGCCAAGGCATACTAAGCCCAAACGATGCATTAAGCCCGGCGGAAGCACACACCGACATCAAAAAGCTCGTGGTCGGTTTTAGAGAAATCGTGTACTCGGTGGTAAAGACTGAAGAAGCGGAAGACAGAGCAGCACATTGCAGACGTAGGTAGTGTCTTGGGAAAGGAGCGCGCGAGGAGCAGAACACATGTAATCGATTAGCCGTTCTTTTGTTTCGGGAAGGGTCGCTCCGAGTCGCAACATGTAATTGCACTCGTGGTTTTTTTATAGTCGCATGCGCAAAAAGTGGATAGAGAACGAGAGAGGCAGGATAGTACATTATGTTCTTTTGTACGCTCCCACTTGACCATGGCAGGGTCTGTTTTGATCTTCATTGCCCAAAATCTTTTGTAGGAACCAGGACCACAGCTCGCAGACATAGTAGAAGCCGGTTTCATGTTTTGTACGTTGAGGTGTGAAGTTCCGAACAAATCATCGCGGGAATACGTCTAGGTTTTTGTTGAGTCGTTTTGCGAAGACACCGTCGCAAACTCCGCCGCACATGCGCTCGAGAATTCGAAGTTTTGGAGAACGCTCAACACATGTTTAATGTTGAAAGTGTTTTTGGGAAACTTCGGAAAGAAAGTGATTGTTAAGAAGAAAAACAGGTCGACACCAAAAAGACTTTTTATATATACCACTCTAGCACAATCGTTGGGACGCATACCTGGCTCTGTTCAGCAGAAGAATTGCGATGATGATCATCACCATTACCATCGCCAGCACATCGCAAAGAATGCATATCCAACTCGAAAACGACACAGAAAAACGGTAATTGTCCTCTGATGGGAGTATGCGCCATGCAATGCTATCCTACCAAAACGCCATGGTCTAAACGCCTTGCACAAATATGAGATCACAGCTCTTCCACTTCCCGCTCAACACTACTCGTCCTCTCACGAGCCTTTGACTTCCCTTTCTCCATGCGAAAACCCACCTCCGTCCTCGCATCGTCTGTAAGCCTTCCCCACTCAAGCAACAGCCTGAACATATACACCTCCATGTCCTCCTTCCTCAAGACCTTCTCCGTCCAAACTTTGCCATCGCGTGCGATCTTCTCTGCAGCCTTGATGTGACCCTCCATCATGCGCTTATTCCTCGCCTCGACGCCATACCCACCGAAGTAAGCGAGCGAAGAGAAGAGATCGTGTAAGCGGAGATCGACAGGAACGAAGTGTTTCCAGGCAGTGAGGCGACCTTCGTACCATTCACGAAAGAGGGCAGCCTTGAAGACCACTGAGTTGGACTGTAAGAAAGGAACGAAACGACCAGAGAAGCCGGCGCCATCCGCGTCGAAGAGGTAGCGGTAGCGCCAGTGCTGTTTGAAGTCGATAGGATCCCCGAAACCGAACTCGCGTGTCTGGTCGATGCAATCTTGGCCTGCACAGCGCGCTATCGGACCCACTAGGCGGACATCAGTCTTTGTCT